AATTTGACTCGACTCGACTCAAAAAAAATGAGTCGAATAGAGTTGGTCTTTAAACTCGACTCGACTCGACTCATTCGAAACTCTAATAGTTTATACTCTATCATTTGTTAGCCAGATTTCATTAGAGAAGACTTCTAATTTACTAATATGCCACGTCTAACAAAATGTCAAAAACAATCAAGAAAGGCTTGTAAATAAAGGTTATAAATAAAAGTACACAAATTAATTTTTATGATAAACCAGATAGTTATGATGATGATAATGATATTGTTATTCATGATACGCTAGAAGAAAATGATAATGTTGCAAGTATTGTAAGAAAACTTTAAGAAGTAGTAAAAAAATACCACTAGGAATATGCTTTTCATGAAATATGTAGACTACGTTATATAGGGAATTCAAAATGCATTAAAAGATAGAAGAATCAGCAATAGCGTGAGGTAGTAAAGGGACCTTTAAGTTGCATACCTTTTGGGAGATCAAGAAATCTAATGAGAAAATTGACAAGAAGGTGGCTGATGAGGATAATATAAAAGTGGATAATGATATTAATAAAGATTCAGATGATGAGATTAATGAACATTCAGATGATGAGGTTAAAGGTTACAACTGGCATAATAAAATCCTAGATGCTCTCAAAAATTTAGAACTAAATATCAAAAAAGAAAAGATTAACAGTGAGATTTAAGTACGCCTAAATGGTATTCATCTTTATTTTTAACTTGTAAAATATAACCATTTGAAAATGAAAGCAAGCAAGGTGGTTGCTAATGCAGTGGAAAAAAGAGTATACCATGCTAAATGCATTTGTTCTTGGACATGTGAATATATAATGATTCATAAAATTCCCTATTCCCGTCAAGAACATCATGCCAAAATATGAAGCTTTCTCTGAAATGAGAATATTCTTCATAAAGTAAAAATATATGTTTAAGAGCATAAGTGGGATGTTACTCCACAGATGCTAATGATATAAATGAACAAAATTATTTTGCCAGAACTTAGATTTGTGTTATTCTAACCATTCATATTAATACTGCGAAAAATTATTTGAAAGAACTTAGATATAAATATGTCAAGGTGAAAAAGGATATATACAGGGTTGAGAAATTTATATGTACTAGGCAAATTTTGACCTTGTACTTGTACTGTACTGTACTAAATTTTATATTAATTATTATGTGTATTAACTGTACTAAACTGTACTAAGCTGTACTAACTGTACTAATTTCTCAACTCTGGGTATATATATAAATGGACATGAGAGAGAAGATGTGGTGGCCTATATAAGAAAATATTTTTAGAACAGATAAAAAATTTTGAGTATAGAATGCCTATCTTTTCAGAAGACAATTTGGAAAAAATAATCTGGCCAGACAATAATATACAAAGACTTATACTTGTCACATACAATAAGTGTATTTTCTCAGCTTATAATAGAAGTCAGAGCTTTTGGATTTCTGATGGTAAATAACCCTTATGAAAAAAAGGTAACAGTCGCTTGATTCTTGTTAATGATTTTTTGACCAATGTTTGTGGCTGTCTTGCACTTCTTGATAAAATGCAAACATCAGATGACTTTTCTAAAGAAGCTTGTGTCATTATGTATTTAGGCAAAAATAATGATGAATGGTGAAAAGCTGATGATTTGGTAAAACAAGTAGTTGAACGTGCTATTCTCATATTTGAAGTATGCTTTCCAGGATGCCAGGCTTTATTTGCATTTAACAATGCATCAAGTCATGCTGCTTTTTCTCCAGACGCGTTTATCGCCAAGCATATAAATCTCAACTTTAGTGAAAAACAGCAAAAAATACACAGCACAAATTTTGGTGAAGGGATTTGACAGGACATGGTCTTTCTATTAGATTATCATATTACTGAATTGCGTGGATAGCCAAAAGGATTAAAGCAAGTTCTGATGGAAAGAGAATTATGGTCAAATGAAGGGTTAAAATTAGAAGAAGCATGAGAAGTAATGAGTTAATAATCAGACTTTTTAGCATAAAAAGGATGACTAAAAGAGGTTATTGTTGCAGCTGGACATCAAATTATATTCTACCCCAAGTTTCATTGTGAGCTCAATTATATTGAGAACTTTAGGATGCAGCCAAGAAATTTAGCCGATCACATTACAATTACTCATGGATAGGGTTACAAAGAACTATTCCATTGGCTTTTGCTTCTGTTTCACTTACAACTATTTGTCAGTATGCAAGAAAAGCATTTCGCTACATGGATGTATACTGAAAAGGCTTGACAGGCTGGACAGCAGAATTTGCAGTTAAAAAATACCGTTCAAATCGCCAGGTTTCCAATTCAATTTTACAATCAGTTGATACTTAGAATAAAAGTTTCATTTGATGCATATTTACTCACACTAGCTATGGACAAAAGAAAAGAATATTATTGATTGTGTAAATGATGTGAATGTAACAGTAACAATTAGAGTAAACCACTTAAAAATTAGAATACTTATCTTGTTTGAATATCTATTTTTACCTTTTTCGAATAAATAAAGAAGAGAAATACATCATTTAAATGTTAAAGGCTTATATTTTGAATTTAAAAATAAAATAATTCGTTTATAAAAGACAGAATAGGAGACAATATTGTTTTATTCTCAATTTAGTTACACTAAAATATGATCAATCTAATCTAACTTAATGTGTTTGAGCACAAATTAGCCAATCAACGATGGGCATATTAATCACGTGTATCACGTGTAGGGCGGTCAAAATATCCGATTTAGTAAAATGTTCCAACTTTGAATTGTTACTGCTCCATTGAAAATCATTTTATAGAAAATCTAAAATCGTAGTTTTGTTGAACTTGAGCTGCTCTACCATTCTACGATTATATTTTATGTTTATCATTTTTTTTTGAGTAAGGAGTAGTAATTTGAATTTTGTTAAAATTTAATGGTTGAGACTAGGTTGTATGCACTGTATAAGAATTAATTTTTTAATTTTTATACATTCTTCAACCAATCAAAGGTGCAGCGTTGAATTTGCTTTGTCACAATCTTTATTATATTACGAGACATCATTCAAATATGACGGACGGTAGAGTTGTTTTTTTTTTTTATTTAAAAAAATATCATATGAAAAAGTCGCGTAAATTTATTAATATTTTTTATATTATTTACATATTTATTAAATTTTTTTTTTCAAAGCTTATCGTTATTTACATGGTTAAAATGTTAAAACTATAATATATATATATATATATATATATATATATATGTAGATGTAGATGTAGATGTAGATATATGGGAACGTTGCCAGTAAATCATTCCCATTATATAGTTCAATAAAAGTGATGAATAATGTTCGCCAATTATCAAAATGCCAAGAAATTCTAATTATTTGTTTAACATAAATGATTTTGCCATTCTATTTTAAATTTTTTTTTTTTCATAATTTGCCAAAATTAAAATCGTTCGTTCGTTGTAAATGGATATCGCGCGTAAAGTACGAATGTACCTTTGTCGTTTGATTAATTTTCTCGTAATGTGGTCCCGAAAAAAAAAAAAGCTCGCCTTTCGATTTGTAATTCTATTAATAACCGATCGAGAGGGTAATATTTTTATGAGGATAAGCGGATTTGATGATGTTCTTCCAAGATGCTTCCTTCCTTTTTAATTCTTCATAATCCAAAACATCTTCAGTATGAATATTCAAATGGATTTTGTCGATTCGTGGACAAAAGCCTAATAACTGCTCGGCAAGATTTATATCATAAACGCTAAGACCCAAAAATTTTAGGTTTTTACCAAATTTTCTCAATAAAGGTAAAGTAATATCTTGTCGTTGAGTATTGATAATTAACTTTTTAAGAAGGAAATGAGAATAAAGGATTTCATTTGAGAGACCGTTACAATTATCGATTGTGAGGAAATTCAAATTATTAAATTGAGAAATCAAGTCAACGCAAGATTCCGTAAGTTGAACGTGAGAGAGTCGTAAAGAAATTAAATTGGAAACATGATTTTTCAATGAGAAAATGATCGGTTCCGCTCCATCATTTGAAATATCCTCGATGGAGAAATGAGTGATTTTATCTTGAGAATTAATGATGTTAACAATGGCTTCCATTACATCAATATTATAATCCGCGGATTTCAATTTGAATTCAAGAAAAGTAATATGAGAACAGAAATTTGAGATGATTTTCAAAAGGTTTAAAATGTTTGTCGTGATAGGTTCGGAATAGGTAAAAGAGAAATGAGAAAGTTGAGAGAGAGCGGGACGTTTATTATCAATTTCAGTGAAATTTGGAATATCCAATTTGGCGAAATTCTTTTCGAAATATAAAGAATGTAAATTTGATCTTTGTAAAAATAATTTACATAAAGCGGTGGAGATCAAATGAATTTGAGGGTAAAAGGAATCATGAGATAAAGTGTTTGTATACCAACGTTGAAGGGAAGAGAGTATGACCAATTCCAAATCTTTGTAAGAAAATTCTTGTAAAAAGTAAGCATAATTGAATAAAGTTTGTTGAGATTGAGGTATCTTGACTCGATATTGAGATAGTTTAGAATTCAAGGACTTATTATCTTGTTCAGGGAGGCAAGAAAATAACGTGTTTAACAATTTATTGTTCGAAGGTTGATAAAGTCGAAGGGATCGATTTTTCAAATATTGGGTAGGTTGAGAGTGATACACTTTTGAGAAGCGTTGAAATGGTTGTTCCCAAAGGATCGGGATGATATTTCGGCACCAATATCTATTAACCAATAGAGCAGAATATATTCCTTCTCCTTGATCCCGAATGCAATCAAAAATTTGTAGCATGCATTCAACTGGAAGATCAGAAATGGTTTTTTTCGGGCGTTTAATGACAATTTTTTTTATGTTTTGTTTTTTAAGAAGTTTACAGGTGACCTTAAATAGGAGGCAATAATCTGGCATTTTTATTTTTTTTTTTTTGAAAATGATAAAAGAAATAAGGAAACTTTTGTATAATAATTTTAAATATTTTTTTTTATCCGAAAAAAAAAAAAAAAAATTCATAGAAACCCCGTTTATATATATATATATATAAATTTCAAAGTATATTTATTTAATTATTACAATTACTAAAAATAAAAATCAAAGATGCATGTGATGTTGGGAATGTATATTATCATCGTGATATCGCACCTGTTTAGAAACTTGTGGATCTTTTCTGAATTTTCCCGTCAATAACTAATTAGATAAATTAGATTAATAAGTTTTGTTCTAAGTATATAATTGATCCTTTTCACAAGAATTTTATCACGAGACCATTTTATTTAATGCTTTTTACGAATCGGTTTAACGTTTTAACTTTTATCCTTCACAACAATAACAACAAGTGCCAATTTATGATTTTCTTTGCTAAGCAGCTGTTATTATTAATTACTCATATGTGTTAATGTGGTTTACAATATTTTTTTAATTAAAAAAAAGATAGTCCGCGACACATTCCAAAAAGTAAAAGATCATTTGGTGACTTGATTCACAAAAAAAAAAAGAGGGTATTATTGAATACATCAATGATCAAATGATGTCATTTGAGGTTATCTGAGGTTATTTAAGGTCATTTGCCAAACATTGAAGATACATCCAACATCTCGGAAAACCTATTGAAATAATCTTTCACCTTTGTTTGTTTGTAGTTGTGGCTGTGCTCTTAATAATGGCTTAGTAGCAACCCAAAAAAAAGTTCCTTATTTTTGATTGACTGGATATTTTTAGATCTTTTAGATCGTTTTTTATCATTATCAATAAAAAAAAATTGAGATTAAATTAGAACAAATTAATTACCTTTTGAAGGTTATCTCTAATTCTATGAGATGGTGGCAAATGATCATATGATTGAAGGATGACAATTAAATATTATACCAAATTTGGTTACTCTTTGATTTCTGAGATTTCTCACGCGTTTTTTCTAAAAAAAAATCCTTTTTGGGTAAGAGATGGGGTAAAAAAAAAAAGAGTTCTCTTAGCTCCGGCGATATTTGACAATTTAGAAATCTCTTTATATATTTGACTTTTCTTTTTTTTTCTTATTTTTGACCCTCCGATTGTGTGGCTTTAACATTTTAACACGGAATGTTACAGTTTTAAAAATCTATTTATAGGCATTATAAGCATTGTTATTTTCTTCGAACAATAATGTACTTTTACCAGAAATCAATTAACTGTCAATAAAAAAAAAAAAAGATTTTTTTCGCGGGTAAAAAGTGCCGCCCTAGTTCACCTAGTTCATTTACAAAAAAAAAAAAAAAAAAAGAATTAGGCTTGTTATCAGTTATTTATGCTTATATTAAAATTCGTTCATTATGACATCACATTGACGGAATAGAACTGATGGAATCATCAAATCATTTAATTTCACGAGAAAACATTCGACCAGATTCAATCCCAGTTCTAGTCAACCAAGTCACTTAAACCAGTTCAAGAGGCTAAGCAACTTTATTACGTATCGCTTTTCCAATCGTTTTACAAGTTTTCCTCACCCGTAAGTTTCAAAACCTAAAATCTTTACCCTATTTATAGTACAAACACAGAATGGTATACCATCTTTTTTGGATAGACTTAATTTATATCTTTCATGATTCTTGGATAAACAATTTTTATTATCATACATGTCTTGATAAGTCCAACTTGTTTTCTTTAATTTTAAGAAAGTACTTTCACAAGTTGTGACGGACTTTGAAAAGGAAACGTGAAAGTACTTTTGACCATTCCAACCATGAATTCTAATCTAAAAATAAATACTTAATTGAGCTCGAGGAATAAGAAAGAAAATCGGGGGATCTCGTTGGATAAATTAAGAAAGTAATGCCGAGTCTAAAATTAGCCCATTAATTCGATAGATATTTTTGTGAAAAATCAAACAAGTATTGGATAGAATTAAATGTACACATTGACATGATCACAAAGAAGAATCCAAATCAAAATGCTGTTCAAATCAAAGATTTTGTAAAGTCGGCGAACCAGATACCATAGTTGCAGGTGTATAAATGTTTGTTGAAATAGGGGTTTGATCCTTAATGAATTTCTTTTTCTGAGACTTTCTCGGTTTATATTGGTAATTTTGATAAATTTTTAGGTGTTGCTTCCTCGCCAGTCTAGCCAATGATTCAATACGTCTGTGACGCTTTGTGGCTCATTTCCCACATTTTGCTTATGATCTTTGTCCTCCTTTTCGTGGGTTTCTGGATCGTTTTTAATTCTTGTGGAAGTGTCTCTCTAAAGTATAAAAGAGTTTTTGAGGACGTGGCGGTTCAGATGGGTCGCTCCTTTAGAAGTGGGTGGAATATTTGTATTTTTTACTCTTTTGCAACGATGATTCTATTTAATTAAACTTTGTGAATAAATTTAGAAACGATCGACTCTTGCAATATTTATTTATAATCTTTATAAACAATACCAAACCTATTTATATTTTTATATTCATAATGCAAACTCAAAAATAAAAAAAAAAGGGGGATTCATGTTTTGTAAGAAATTTTTAAGCATTACGTTAATGCTACTAAATATTTATTACATTTTTCTTTTTTTTAAAAAAAAGATGCACCTATATTTAATAATAAAAGAAGAAAAGGAAATTTTAAACCGTTTTTGTTCTTGAATTAGCTGCAAATTTAGGAAAAAGAAACGGGGGGGGGGGCATAAAACCTTATTTTTCTTCGATGTGCAATTAGATATCGAACGACCGATCATCGCCAATTGAATGCTGTTTAAAAAGATCTGAAAATCTTTTAAACCTTACGACCGAAAAATTAGATACATAATTTATAAGTGAATATTTACTTTTCGTAGTTAGTTTCAAAAAAAAAAAAAAAAATTTTTTTTCCGAAGCGATAAGTGGTATATATTAACCCAAATTTGGTCTAATTCAACAATTCCAAAATTCCAAATTAAGATGACCAATAGCTCCTTGTGTCTTGTGTCTAAATTAAATTATCATATTTTCGGAACCCCAACATTAAAATTTTCGATTTTCCTTGTTTATACATATCAACGTCTTTGCACCCGTACATGCATTCAAGAAACTGCAAGTTTAATAATTATATCGAAATTAACACATTTAACCAATTATGGTTTAAACATATAAAAGGAAGGCCGTAATTAATGGAATACTTGAAATACTTGAGGATTCGAAAAAATATTTGAAAAGATTGAAAAAAATTCAATATATTAATTTATTAATTTACATACCAAAAAGTCGCGTGAAGTCTTCAACACGTTTGAAAAAAAAGAAATTTTTGTTTTTATCAAAGATACGTACGTAGTAAACCCGTGACTTTAGATCATATTTTGGCCAAACTTTTCAATTTCGGCCTGCATTAATGATCAATTCCGGCCAAAAGCTGAACGGAATAAGTAAAACATAAACCGTAGATCGGAGGGATCTTATACGAAAAAGTTCGCACACTTGAGAATAAAAAGAAGTTTCATGTGAAGATTCGAATCTCCTATAAAATCATGAAAATCCGAAAAGTAGCGAACAAACATCATCTCTCCAAAACCTTAATTTTTTTTATTTTTTTTTCTAAACGATCTCGAAGGAAAAATTCTTCTTATTTGCGAAAAAAAAAAAGAAAAAAAAAAAGATTTCGCTTTCTCACATTTTCAATCATTTCTTTACAATTTACTTCTTCGAAACCAGATGAAAAAAAAAAAAAAGGATAGATATTAGTACATAATCTCGAGATTTAGATTAGAATTGTTTCAGATCTACAATAGAATTTTATTGAATTGTTTTGGTGGCGACCAAAAAAAAAAAAAAAAAAAAAATTCATTGTACTTTTTTTTTTTTTTTTTTTTTTTTTTTCTTTTTGGTGTACTTTCTTTTTGTAAAGTACGATGCAATTTTCAACTTCCATAAAGCTCCCTGTACTAAAATTATTATATCCGAGAAAGGCGCAGCAACACATTTTAATTATCAAAACCTTTAAGGTTGATAATTCCCAAATCGAAAATGAAGAACAATAGGTTCATTATGCTGCCTTCTATTTCAGTTGGCAAAGTTGTACCAATGGTGCATGATGTAATAATAATAAATAATAATGCAGTATACATTCGAAAACAAAAATAATAATAATAAGAAAAAATAATAAGAATGCAAATGACGAACCAAAAGCGAGGAATGAAGTAAGATGGTTGAGGCTTTGTTTACACGTAAGCTTTTAATTGTTGTTCAATTTTGTTCGCTTCAATTAATGATTTTTTGAAAAAAAAAAATTTTTACCATGCGATCGGATTTTTTATATTTGGTGAATAAAGTTTTAGGTAATCCATTGTTTAAAATTCTATTTAATGAGTAAAATTGACAATTTATCCAATTGTCTTTATTTTTTAGTGTAATGGGCCCGCATTAGATTCGTACGACATGCAAGCGCAGTTACGAGTATTCACCTCTCGTCATATAAATAAGTCGTCGGAACCAAAATATGAGTCAATTTTCCGTTTTTCGTCGTTATTCGCTTCAGACAACTTTTTTCATCTTTTTTTTTTTTTTTTTCACATATATACATATAACATATATATATATATTTCGCATGTAAAAGATGCGTAATTTTCTAAATGCGATTGTCAATCTATTGAATAAAACGGAAAAGGACGCACCTCCGACATTACCACCTGAGATAATGCAACAAATACTTAAATATGTGCAAGAGGATAATTCCTTATATCCATCCCTTTTGGTAAATAGATATTGGTGTAAAAATGCAGTTCCACTCTTATGGAAAAACCCATTTAAACAACTACCTAAAAAGAATTGCATCAAATTAATTCGAACATATTTATTATGTTTGGATAAGGAAGAGAATTGTTTGTTGGATTTTAATTTAAAACCGTACTTGAACATAATGAACCTTATTCCGAGGAAAACCCTCTTCGAATATCCTTACTTTTTGAATGAGATATCATTCAAAGATTTGGAGAAGGTCGTCACTTACACGGTGAATACATGGTGTGATAGAGACACGAGGAAAGAGCACAAACCGATCATGATCCAGATCGTCATCTCGATATTATTTCAATTATTCATTAGGATGTCGGCGAATTTAAGGGTTTTCATTTTAAATAAGCATTGCAACATTGATTCGGATATTCCTGAATTGGTCACATTTTCAAATTTTCAATCATTATTTTCACAAATACGAACTCTCAAGGTCTTGTTCGCTCCCTTCTCGAAAAATGTCATGCAACTTTTAGGGAATATTTCAACAAATCTTCATTGCCTAGATTTTAAATTACACACTTCAAATTACACACCCGAGGTAACTCAATTGATTTCAACGATAATCAAATCCCAACATTACCTTAGTGAATTCACGATCGCAAATGTTCCAAGTGCTTCGAATGGTTTGGATTCCATCCTTTCTTCCTTGCATTCCCATAAAAAATCTTTAAATTCCTTGAAACTTAATTTCGTTCACCTAACCGAACCTTCCATCAACATTATAAATCAATTTAATAAATTACATACACTTTGTTTATATTGTTGTGGAGGTTTGTCAAATTCTATCATGAAAAGTAATTTTCCTCTTTTAAAAACTTTACAATTATCTTTATTCTTTTCTTCAGATGTTAATTTACAAATACTTGAAAAATATGGAAAATCCTTAAAACAAGTTGGATTTAGTTTCTCGGATTTTGAACTGGCTTTAATTAATAATAATATTAATATTAATAATAATAATAATAATAATAATAATAATAGCACAAAGATATTATCTTATTGTCCAAATGTTACTGAACTATCTGTTTTGTTTTATTTGAACCAATCAACCACTTTTGATCATGATCTGATTATTCAAAATGAAATGAATAAATGGCAACTAAAAATTGATGAGCTGCATTTATCAAGGAAATTGGATTTATTATGGGTTGATAATTCAAGAGAGTCTTATTATATTTATTAACAACAAGCATTGAGAGGGGTGGGATTTCATTATGTAAATTTTTAGTATATAGATTAAGGAAAAAAAAAAAAGAAAAGAAAAAAGAAAAACATTATACTTGTATATTAAAAGATCATTTGTATTCATGTCTCTATATATATATAAATAAAATGAAAAGATTTTTTTTTTTAAAAAAAAAATTTCAGAAGAAATTGATCAATTTTATCCATATTTGGATCCGTAAATGAGTACAATGATAACTGCGGGATTTGCTGATCAATTAACCAAATGGGTAAATAAACACGAACCCAGATTTTTTCTTCCCGATCACCATTTTTTCTCGTGAATTTTCTCTCTCGTAATGTCAATTACCGACGTTAATTCCTCGATCGAAAAACTTATACAACAATTAACCAATTTAGTGGTCTGTAGATCCTTTTTTCTCAATCATCTACTGATTTCTTTAATAAATGTTATTAATATTAAACTAATTTGAATACAGCCAAATTCGGAGAATTACAAGAAGTGTGAAAATAACGTCCATTCAATTTTTAAATATGGAAAGTTTGGAAGTGCCGGCCAAAAAGATATTTCACGAAGATACAATGGGTACGTGTAAATTTGATCTTTGGGTTTTATTATATTTCATTCATAATAATCGATGTTCTTCATTTTTTCAGTCTGATTGAAAAGTTTCGATTACATGCACAAGAAGAGAAAGCCGACCATTTAGAAAAAATCTTTACTTCCTACATAAATCGTTCAATTCATGAAGCTTCGATTCCCGTGAGTTAGTTACCTGTTTTTTTTTTTTTAAAAAAAAAACTTGTTTTAAGGTTAACCCTAATCATCGTTTATAGGTGCATACGCGTTATGATATGCTGTACCTTTTGCTAAATTTATCCGAATCACCGCTTCAAGTCTCATTTAGTCTTGCCCTTCCGAAATCAAGGTCATCAAAACCTCAATTAACGGTTGAAGATATATTTCGCGAAGAACCATTGGTAGGTTCACATTGGGAAAAAAAATCGAGCTACACTGATGATGATGATGAGTATGATGATGATTGGGATTTTGATATAAAGACATGGATCAGAGAAAGGTTAGGTGATCGGGCTATTAACTTGCAAAACTCTCGAAGAACTGTAAGCATTAGTTAATGTCATGATTTAGATTTGTGAGATGGAGTTCAATCTTATTCACCACATTTATTTGTTGATCACAGTCAATACAAAAGAACGTACCAAATTTCGAGCAACAAAATGAAAAAGTTGACGTGTTAGAATTTGACATAGACCACGAACTCATTCGAGAATTGGAGTCGAAGCAATATTGGAGGAATGAGTTTCGTCATATTCCTGAAGGTACTAACTCTCCTCTTCATAATTCAATTTAATCATGAAAAATTAAATTTTTTTTTACCTTAATAGAAACCAAATTTAATTCTAACGATGCTTGTACCCTGGGTAAGGTTAATCTTCATAATTACGCATTTTAATTATCATTGTTTTTGTTGTTGTTTTGCGATTGCTAAAGGTGGAATGGAAATTCTTTATACGACAAAGCTCCTGCGCTTGCCGAGTACAAAAGTCGGGACGAAAGTTATCTATTTCACGATCCAACTCGGGTGGAATACCTAACTGAGCTCGTTGCAATACGTGAAGTATTGTTCATGTTATCGGGAAGGCCGAGTTATTTATTTCATCAACAGGAGAATGGAAAATTTCAGGTATGAACTTTTCATGGTTTCACCATTGTTAATTCATTTATAATTATTACTTATAATATGAATGAAATAGATTAAGAGTAATATAACGTTGACGCATTTGTCTGAGGGCGGATTTAAGGCTTTGCTGGATTTTTTTTGCGATTATGGAAATAAATTGTTCAAGTTGAGAATGATTGCTTCAAAGTAAGAACCAGATTATCGATACAGTACCAAACGACCATCCTTTTTTTTTTTCTATTGCGAATACTTGATACTAAATCGTATCATCATGCACAGAATATGTAGTGAACCTTGTACCTTATATGGACAAACAGCGCAGGCATTTTCTGCTTCTATTTTAAAGATGGTTTGGAAGTTTGACAAACTGTTGGCAGATTTTGAATTGGAATATCAGGTTGATCGTATAAAATCTCGAGGTTTGGATTTGTTTTACTATCATATCAAATAATCATTAAGTTTATAATTCGTGTTAATCCTTACCTTACTAATTTTTAACCTTTGAATCGTTAAGCTCAGGATACATATATTTCACTTTTACATCTAAGAAGTGAACTTATGAACCGGCTATATGAATTCACGATCATACATAACTTTGTTGAGAAATCAAGTTTAAACGGTACTTATCATTAAGGTTTGTTTATTTGTAAACAAATTATCAATCGCTGAAACAAATTCTTTCTCCTACTTTAGACATACCAGAACTTTGTCATAAAGAAAATACTTCTAAACAGTCCAGGAACCTATTAATAACACCATCAAAAATTGCTTATGATATTCTTTCCGGATTGTATGATGAGATATCTACGCATCAAACCGTTGGAAATCATTCTATTTTCCTAATGCTTGGAAAACACCTTGACAATTCATTTGTTCCTTTTATTCGTATGATGAATGACTGGATTTGCAAGGGAGCATTTCATGATCCTGCAAATGAATTTTTCATCGTTAGGTTTGTGATTTTAATTTACATGCATATCAAATCAAATATTACTTACATAAATTGACCCTTTTATTATATATTTCTATCCTAGAACAAGTATAATTCAAAATTCATCACAGTATTGGAAAGAAATGTATAAGATTCGAGAAGTTTCGTCATTGGACAATTCAACCTCGTCACGGCTGCTATTTCCAACTTTCTTGGAACCTTTCATAGGGCGTGTTTTGTTTTCCGGTAAAGCAAAGAATTTGCTAATGTCTTTGAAGCTTAAAGAGGTACTTACGTGTTAGACGTCCTTTTAGTGGATCAATTTTAATCATCATAATCGTATATTCATTATCATTACACAAATATGTTTTAGGAAGAAGTAATGTTTCGAATGACTTTTCAACATCATCCGGAAGAATTTGAATTTGATACAAAATCCTTGCAGTTTTTTGATTTGAGCCAACCGGCCGAACTTGGGCCGTTAAACAAATCGCCTGGAAAAGATTTCATGTCAGCTCTTTTCCCTCTTTGGAATAAATCAAAAATACAAACGGTCGAATATACGGAACCAAGACCACGATCGCAGAGTTACATTGGTGAAGATGATCAACATCTAAACATAGATCCAATGATAAATTTTCAACCTTTCACCGAACGATTCAGAGAAAAGTTTGAAGATTATCTTCATCCAAGATATATGCGCATAGGACAACAGCTCTATGGTGCCTTGGTTGAACAGTGTCACCTTTGGAGACATTTAAGAGCTCTTGCAGGCATATATTTTATGCAACAAGGCGAATCAATGCATCTATTAACTGATGTTTTGTTTGACAGGGTTTGGACATATTATTTGATAATTGTTATTCCTGCGAGTGATAATTAATGAACTGAAATTTAATAAGTGGTTATTATTCTATTGTTTAGATAGATAAGAAACAAATGTGGTACGACTCTTACGTTCTGAATGAAGTAGTTTTAAACACCATCAAGAACTTCAAATGGTTAGATAAGAGTTCAGTCATTGTTTGGGTAAATGATGAGGCAGGCAAAAAACCAAATATAAAAACGGTGAGAGTATTTGAAAAAATAGCTTTTGAGTATCGAGTAAGTTTCATGTTGTTATTTGAATTGGTTTGTTTTAACTTTCCCCGACTAATTTATCTGTTTCAATTCAGCTACCTTGGCCACTCGATAATATAATTCGTAGCAATACTTTAACGTCTTACAAACGAATAATTGTGTTTTTGTTGCAAGTTAAAAGGGCGAAATACCTTTTAGAACGGTTGTCCTTTTCTCGAAATCAAGACAACTCTAAAGCCATGGTTCTATTTTATGGTGTAAGAATGAAGTTAATATGGTTCTTAAATACAATATGGGATTACGCCATGAGAACTGTGAGTACACTTTGCATTTATATCAATTTATAATGATAATACTATTGTTTATCATGAAAAATTTTTTCAGATATTACTATCAGAAACAGAAAACTTTTATAAGAAACTGGAACAAGTGTTTGATATCGATGAAATGATTTCATTACACGGGAATTATATTCGCACCGTTCACGATAGGTGTCTGTTGAATGAAAATGTAGGTCATCACTTTATATCATATGACAAAATCTCTGAAAGTTTCTAAATATCGTTTTATCTCTAGGCAACTCCGATGCACAAATCGATATTGGACGTTTTGGATTTAATAATACAGTTTAGTATACTTTATACAAGATATCGTGGTGATAATGTTTCCTTTTATGATCATTCTCGGGACGACAGATCAAGAAGGTTCATGGATGATAATTCAGATTCAGACTCGGATTCATTTTTAATTGACGATGATGACGATCAATTGGATAAAGGAGGAGAAAATGGATTTGAATCGATTGTACCACATCTAGTAGATTACGATGATTTTCTTAATGGATTATGCAGGATTGATAAAGAATTTAATAGACATAAAGAATTTATTAGTAATTCAATACAAGCGATCGCTAAAGTAGGAGGATTTTGGTGGTTTGATGCTTTAGCATTAGCTTTAGGCTGAGAAATTATAACGTTTAAAGTTGGATAAGATTTTAATTTTGATCAATTGAAACTGCAAGTAACGTTTAATCAAAAAATTAAATTTTTATTTTCACATTTTGCGTTGATTAATTTCGCGTAGTTCAAAAAAAAAAAAAAAAAAAAAACAGAATTTATTATACCTTTTCGATTAAAAAATGGCGGATTTTAAGGTTGTAATTTTTCGAAGAGACATTCCTTAATTAAAACTAGTTTAAGTCCGTCGCTTTTTCAACGTTATACAAACTTTGGGTTTGGTTTCAGATTGGAATTTTTAAGATTTATAATCCGAACTGAACCGAACTGAAATTTTCAGTTCAGTTTCAAGATTGACCTATAATCTGGACTGAACTGAACCATTCAGAGCATTAACTATAACAGTCCCGGATATCAGTCATCCTTCTATACAAGACATCAAATTGATTCGTCCTCTTTTAGTTGATCTCCGTAAAGTTCTAACCACAGCAGTCAAACTGAATGAAGCTGAACTCAAAACAAAGCTATTAATGAAGCCATTGAACGACGATGTACAAATTTAGTTGATGACTAGAAAGCCATGTTCGACTCATTATTAGAACGTCCTCACAATACTATTACACTAGACAGATGTATAAATAACAACAGTCCTGACAAAGAACTCCTTATGGATCCAAAGGATGTTCAAAATGAAACAGCAAGACACTTTCAAAGAGTAGTTGGCTCACAATATTCTAATCTGTCACTCCCAAAAGTATGGGAACACATTTATATACCAGATGAATCGATAGATCCCACTATATATGATTCTATTATGCAACCCCCTCAGAAGAAGAATGGCACAATATCATTAAGGTACTCCCTAATGATAAAGCTCCTGGACCATCCAAGATATCTAACGAAATGTTAAAACATCTGGGCCTTTAGTATCTGGATCATTATTTGCAGATGTCTGTCATTCAATTTAACACCTAGTAGATGGAATTTAGCTTTCATATATTCAATACCCAAACCAAAACCCTGGGAATATACAGACCCCTGCCAAAAGTTTCTGAACACCAAGTTTAAATGCAAATAAATACATCGTTATATCACATGATCAAATGATACTGCGGTCATAAGAAGTTACGATGTTTGTTTATGTTAATTTATAATAAAAAGCACGTTATTTTGACTTACCTCAAAATAAAAACAAACAAACTCTTTCTTCTTTT